TTTTTTTTTTTTGGTTTCGCGTTCGGCCGAACGTCCGAACGCGTCGAGATGGGGTCCCAAACGTTCGGGAGCTCGGGTTCGGGTGTTCGGCCTGTCCCGAACGCCGACAACCTTGTATATATATATATTGAATATATATTTATTATTTCTTTTGACAAAAAAAATTAATGCGTAAAAATGATTTTTTTTATTTTTTATTTTTTTTGTCCCTTCCTATTCCCTCGTAATGGAGGCGAACGCCCAAACCCGAACGCCCGAACGTAATTACCCGAACGGAACGGGCCGAACCCGAACCCCCAAAGGGGTCCCGTACGTTCGGGCGTTCGGGTTCGGGCGTTCGGGTTCGGGCGTTCGGGTGCGGGCGTTCGGCCCGTCCCGAACATCAGAATATTTTGGACGGGCCGAACGCCCGAACCCGAACGCCCGAACGTACAAGACCCCTTCGGGAGGCGTTCGGCCGTTCGGGCCGAACGCGGACCGAGAAAAAAAATAAATAAAAAAAATGTTATGGAGCCAAATAAACTAAACAACATTTGCCTTGGCACTACATCTGAATTCTTTACCAAATTTGAATTAAAAATCCAATACCGAAAATAAACACTATGATAAAAATAAGAAAAAATAAAAAGAGAATTAAAATGAGTAAGTCTGCCAGCACCTTTTCGACACCGCCATCTTTGCCGATTTTTCATTATTTTTTGGCATTGGCAAATGCCCTGAAAATTTACATATATGTAGTTTACATAATCAATAAATCATTAAAAAGTTTTTTGAAAATAATAAAATTGTTTAGGCCCCAAAATAAAGTGAAAACAAAAAGTTAAAAGTGAAAAAAAAACAAAATAGTGAGTGGGCGAGCAGGTTTTGACACCCCCATCTTTGACGATTTTTAATGTTTTTTTTTCTTTGCAGAATGGCTTCAACATTTATAGACGTGTAGGTTACATCATAGAGAACTCACAAAAAAAATTCAGAAAAAAAAACTTACTTTTAGGCCCCGAAATTTTTTTGGCGGGGGCCGAACCTGGAGGTGTTCGATCCCCGAACAGGACCCCGAACACCCGAACGTTCGGGGGCCAGCCCGGGGGCCCCCGAACGTTCGCTTAGGTGGTAAGAGGTACCTCACCCCTATACAACTTTAAGCAAAGATGGGCATAGCGATGCATAATTAGTTTCATATGATTGGTCATTCACCTCGGGATACGTCATACCGCGAATAACTTGTGGTCATGTTTGTTGTTGCATGCGGACATACGGAAAATTAAGTGTATTCGTCCAAGACCTATGGTCCAGGCTAACTTATGCAATTGCGTGAGAACGCCGCATCCGTATTACTAATTTGCGGACTCACATCGATAACTGTTTCTCTAAATATGTAAGATGTTATGTTAGGATGTTTAATGTTATATTAGTATTTGGCGAGAACCAAAAGGAAGTCATGTTATGGCGATAGTCTGAATTTTATATGTGAAAAGTCGGTGTATTATGACATACTTATTTTTCAGGATCTCGTTTTACCGTTGTCCATGACAAGGATATTGGTTATGATGCCAGGATGAATCAGAGTTCTATGCGTGGTGGTTGTTTATAATACTATTAATATTTTAAATTGGTTTGCGCGTAGTAAGGTGCACGCGCTTCGTATGGCTATTTAAAGAAGTCTTGCCGGGGCAAATTGCGCCTGATTATTCGTAGTTGCTCTTTGTGACTGTGTGGTGACCGAGCTGATGATAGTGGTTTATGTAAGTAATTTTGAGGTGTTTATTACTCTGATGTAGTAAAATAGTGGTTTATCTAAGTAGTTTTTTGTCTAACTAATATCCTTGTTTGGTACCTATTTATCCAAGCTCCTATACTGTCGAAACTAAAAATAGTAAGTTGAATAAAGCTAGAGGCACAAAACAATTTTGGCGCGCCTCTCATGCATTTGAACAATAGACATCTATGACTAGAAAATTATGCGTATAAGTATATTTTCGTCGAAGCCTTATTAATATGACGCACCTGCCTAGTGATCAAATAAAGTTTTTCTTGCATTTTTTATAATTAAAACAAACATCTACATAAGGTACTACATCTCACGTGCTAGTAAGAAATGAGACTTTCTTGTAACGTATGCCAGAAAGCGGCATACTCACAGTATTGCTCTATGTAAGGTTCATATTCCCGTGTTGGTGATGCTCACGAGAATCCTAACTTCTATACTTATGCGGCGATAAGGGGGACGTATATTGAATTTACGAGCGAAATTGACAAAAGATTGTCTTTATCTCTAGCGCGGGGATATGCAGGTACGATCCTGGGTATGAGAAAATTGTCATGCTGGGGATAAGTATTTATCATGCAGTCTCGTAGTATTTATGAAGATTGCCGCTCTACGCATGCTAAGAAAATTGAAGGTGATATAATGTATGCCAAAACACGGTCACAGTAGTGATCTGTGTATGCTCCATACTCCCTAGTTGGTGATGTGCACAAAAGATTATGCATCTCTCCGTACGTTAATATCAGCAAAAAAAAATATTTTTTTGCTAAGGGTTTTTTTTTTTTTTTTTTTGGCATGGTGATCTACATGTCGGATATCGTCATTATTAACAAATCATTATCCTAGGGAATCAATGCGGTTCTCTGGCATCACTAATGATTGAGACGGGCATTCATATAAGGGACCAAGGCACATGTTCCCCCAAAAAATGGGTGGCGACGTCGTAGAGTATCCCAAATTATAAGTACGCAAGGGATTTTCCTAAGGGGTCCTTACACCGATGTAATGATAAGGTGCGGCGGTGCGATTAGTAGCGGGTCTGTATGATGATGTTTTTGTGTCTCGTATTAGGCTGAGGCAGGATGAACCGGTAACGCCATAAACGTGTATATATGCAAGGTTGTCTTGATTATATTTACATTTTGCTATAGTTGATAGTATTTGCGAAAACTAGCTAACATAGGTCTCGTGGTTGCAGTTATATTAATATATGTATACTTGATTATGCTATGCGTATGAATCATTGCTACGACGAGTTTTTAGGGCTGCTGCTTATGTGTATTACATGCGTGTGGAGATGTGAGAGTTGAGGTATTAGTTATATGAAGGAATACAACAGGGGATTCGTGAAAACCTCACAATCGGAGAAAACCTAACATTTCTTATATAATGAAAAAGTAAAAGTCAATCTGTTATTTTTTACACAAAAAAAAACGTTTTTAATTGTTTTGCAATAAAGGAGGCAAAAAATCAGGGTGAAAAGTTTAGCGTTCCTCGAAATGTGCAAGAAAACTCTTCCTTGCAAAATGTTTTTATATGACTATAAGTCATTCTTTGTAGATTGGCAAAAAAACAGAGTTCAAATAGGGTCATTTTTAAGGATGATAAGATAAACTTGAAAGATGCAAAAAAAAACGTGTTTTGGTGCATACTCATTTATAGGACTATAAGTCCATTTCCGCAGTTAGGTAAAAGCCAAACTTCTGCACAAAATAATTTATAAGACTATAAATCACTTTTGAACTTAACAATAAAACCCTTATCAAAAAATATATGTCATTTAAAATAAGAATACAAACAACTTTTGTCTCGGAGACACCTTGAAATTCTTAGCCAAACACGAGTTTAAAATAAAAATATAGGAAAAAAAATTAAAACAAACAATGAAAAATAATATATCCGCCCATGTATGAGAAACCATGTTCAAGCGAACGTATTCACGAACAGGAGAATATGTTTGCACGTTCGGAAAACCCTCGAATAAATTCATCGTGCTATACATCTTATATGACTATGAACACAAATTTTTTGATAATAAAAAATAAGGATATTTCAATTCTTAAACCTACGGTGCTTCACCAGGTTGTGATTTTCTATGAAAAAACCCGTTTTTTTCCTCGCCCCCTCCAGTAGTTCTGAAAAATTAATTTTCCGTTTTTTTTTTTGTGGATGTTTCACTTCACGTAGAATTTTGTTCCTGGAGGAGACCTGAAAAACGTACTATCATAATCTTCAATAGATTTTGTGCAGACCTAACAATTTGTTTTGTTAGGTTTTCACGAATCCTATGTTATTTGATTGGTGGGGTTCAGAGAGTTATAATATATTTGATGTAAGGCAGTGTCTAATGGTCTCCAAGCGGGGGATTTAACCCCCAACTTGGCAACTTGATATAATATCCGGGTGCGTGTGTGATGGGTGTGTAAACACGACCATCCCGTTTGTAATGGGAGGGGGGACCATATCAACGTCCGCAACGTTAGCATCAGGATAAAACTCTACGTTAATTAGTCTCATTTTATTAAGGAGAGAATCATTTCAGTATGCCATAGGGGAGGTGGGTGGGGGGTGAGGATTAGGTAAGGAGCTGTTAGGAGATTAGTAGGTTAGATAGTGTTAGAATCGACAAGATTAAAGTCGGAGGGGGGTTGCACGCCCTTAAGCGCGCTTTTCGCCGCCTAGCACCCATAGCAACTCATCAGAGGGGTTAGCTTAGTAAAGACTTCTGTTAGGAATGGAGGAGAGGGGGAGGGCGGGCTCAAGAGAAGGACGTAAGGGGTTGTATGGTGAAGCAACATAGGTATTGGGGGAAGATGGCGTTAGCGAATCATACCTAAGCAGTCAGGGTCGGTGTCGCTGGGAGATCAGTCGCCGCCATAGCACAAAAGGTGGCCATGCAGCGTAGTATCAGGTGGCTTACAACGTAAGCACAACGCCCGAGGCACTATGGTGTGCCATATCGAGTCCAGGTACACAGATCAGTTCGCGAGCTGGCGTGCTCGTGCGAGGAGGGAGTAAGAGAGGACTTGTGGCAAGAGTTGAAGGAGGCAAGAGCATGCAAGTTGGTGTTGGTGCGGAAGAGTGCAAGCATGCCAACAGTTGTAGTAGTGGCCGTTCTCGAGGGCGCCTTCTTTATCCTAGAGGAGGATAGGGGTGAGCATGCCATGAATGTATATCGTAGCTTGCCGTACTGCGGGCTAGGATTAGAGGAAGTACGTGGGCAGGGAGAGGATGGGGGTGGGGTAGTGGCTTCATTTTGGGGGGTGAAGGGAGATTCATGTGTGTATGGGAGAGGGTGGGTGAGCCAGTTGTAGGTTTGTTTAAGGGGGAAGGGGGGAAGAGCAGGGATATGAAAAAAAATTCCTTTGCGCAGCGCGGTGAAGAGGTCGTACCAGCCGATGTGCCTTGTAACTGTGGGGGTGGGTATGGTGCTATCGATGTGGGTTACAAAAAGGTGATGGAGTCTAGGTGCCGTGTTTTGGTTGTCTCGTTGTGAGCCAGTATGTGTAGTGGTGTGGGTCTATTTTTGTCGTCTAGGGAGGAGGACTGGCTATGGAGGAAGTAGGGAGTGTCGCATTTGGTTTGTCTGCTTCGTGTGTGTGTTTGTTTTCTGGTGCGCCAGGAGTGTCGTTTCGGAGTGGTGTTTTTGTTCGGTGGCGTTTTGACCGTGGTGCATTTTGTTTTTTTTAAAAGAACTTTTTTTGGTTTTTTTTTTTTTAAACGCGTTTTGTCAATCTTTTTACGTTTGCTTTTACCTCGAGCCGTCAAGTAGACCTATAACTGATATGCGTGGTGTTGCTATGTGGTATAAAGGTGTGTGGTTTATTGCTTGAAACGTATATTGATGACGTTGTAATTCCGAGATGGGGGTTTGCTTTTCAGTAGGTTGTATCCGGGGGTATTGGGTAGAAGTATACTTTATAAGTTTTTATTACTGTGTTTCATATCATATGGACGAAATGTATTCCGGACATCTCAGACCTCTGCCAGGTATGCTCAGATAACGAACAGGAGCACATAATACACTGCCTGATTATATGCAAACCCGCCACTGACTTGTGGGCAAGAGCCGCAAAGCTCTGGGACTACTTATTTCCCTTCCCCCTACGTGAACACCCAATCCAACTTCTTCTATGGACTAACTACCGCACTCTCTCTAACAAATCGGAACGCATCTAGTTCGGGATAATCGGGAAGATTACATTGTGGGCCATCTAGAAGGAGAGGTGCAACAGAACAATTGACGGGATTACCACTCCGACTGACCAAGTATGGGCAGCAACGAAGCTGCTGATGGAAACCGATATCCGATGTCGATGGAAGAAAGTCAGACTTTAAGCTCAACAAAATTTGGAGAAACAGCAAGAGTTAATATCCAACTTCAAGAGGGTATGGCTGGTCCACGGAAAGATAACCGAGATCGAGGCTCTACAAATCAGATGGAAGGACTGGCACAACTCGACGACCCCCCAGAGAATGACAACTCCCGACCAAGAAGAAAAGACACTGCTCAACTCGGATTGCCACTCTCTGTATTTCTAGCGTGTACTGCCAATCTGACAGACTCTGTTTGAGGGATCTGAGAGGAAATTCAAAGAAAGGCTACCTGACAGCCCAGGCTGATCAGGGATTACTAGACCAGACGGAAGGGGGTGTGGTTGAGTCTTTGATGTAAGCCGGTTATATGACTTGCTGGAAGGGAAAAAAAGGGAAAAATGGTCTCAAAGAATTATAAGGATGAGGATATTGGATATCAAGTGAGGGTTTAGGGATCAGGGTTTTAGTGGTACCAGAAAAGGGGGGTGGGTAAGACGAGTTAGGGTTGATTAGGGCTCATGGAGAGGATGGGTAACGGGGAATAGGTTCGCTAGCTTGACAATGGGCATCCTCTTTCTTGATAAGATAAAACTATTTGATAGAGCTGGTTGCCGGGTCTGAGAGGAAAGAGTGAAGTATGGCAAGCTGACAATTAATCCTCCACCAAGGTGGAGCAATCAATGCTGCGCAGGGGTCCTTCGGCCAGACGGAAAAAAGCGAGAGTATGTCTCAATGTAACATTTATTTTGACTGGCCGGTGGAATAGGAACCAGACTGACGCTCCCCAAAATAGAAGGAGCGAGGACCACAAGGCCCTATTTTTATTTAAAAAAAAGAAAAAAAAAAAATATTGACTATGAAGAGTGTATTATTTATTTTTTTATATTATTAGCTAGAAATTATGTAAAATAATTATTATTATATATTTTTTTAATTATATATAATATATTTTTTAATTTTTTTAATTTTGTATTTTTTTTTTTTTTAATTTTAATTTTATTTCATTTTAATTTTAATTTTATTTATTATTATTATTTTATAATTTTATTTTTCTTAATATATATATGTATATAGGGTAACCGACGTTCGGGACGGGCTGAACGCCCGAACGTATGGAACCCCTTAGGAATGCGTTCGGCCGTTCGGGCCGAAAGCTGTCTCTTATACACATCTAGATGTGTATAAGAGACAGGCTTGAGGTAGACAAAAAAAAAAAAAAAAAAAAAAAAAAAATCAAAACAATCTGAAAAAAATATATGTTATGAAGAAAAATAAATTAAAGAAGATTTGCCCGAGCATAACATCCAAATGCCTTACCAAATTTGAAATAAATACTAATAATAATAAAAACAAAAAACAAATAAATAAATAAATTTAGTGAGTGCATGAGCACGTTTTCGACACCGCCATCTTTGGCAATTTTTTGTTTTTTTTTTGCGCAATTAAATTCCCTGAAAATTTACAAATATGTACTCCATCTAATGCAAAACCCACTAAAAAAGTTTTAAAAAATAATAAAATTGCTTAGACCCCGAACTAAAGTGAAAACAATAAGTAAAAAGTTAAAAACAACGTGGGCGAGCACGTTTTGACACCGCCATCTGTGGCGATTTTTAATTCTTATTTGACGAGTTAAATGACTTGAAAATTTATAGGCATATTCCTGACATCATAGAGAACTCACAAAAAAAAATTAATAAAAACAAATATACTTTTAGGCCCCGAAATCATTTTTGGCGGGGGCCGAACGCCGTCGGGTTCGGACCCCGTACGGGACCCCAAACGCCCGTACGTACGGGCTGGTGACTCTGTATGTATATATATATATATGCAGGGTTACCTGACCGAACGTTCGGGGGCCCCGAGCTGGCCCCCGAATGTTCGGGCGTTCGGGGTCCCGTTCGGGGGCCGAACACCTCCAGGTTCAGCCCCCGCCAAAAAACAATTCGGGGCCTAAAAAGAAGTTTTTGTTTCTGAATTAGTTTTTGTGATCTCTATGATGTAACCTACACGCCTATAAATTTTGAAGCCATTCTGCTAAATCAAGAAAACATAAAAAATTGTCAAAGATGGGGGTGTCAAAACGTGCTCGCCCACTCACTATTTTGGTTTTTTTCACTTTTAACTTTTTGTTTTCTTGGCTTAGCAGAATGGCTTCAAAGAGGTAGGGTTTTTTGTGATATAGATTTTTTTGTGATTTAAATTTTGGACACGTGTGGAGTTTGGTGTGGGGTGGATTGTTAACGTTCACCTGTAGTATACAGTAGGTCTTCAGACAACGCGTTTAGGCTAGGGCCCGGACTATGAACAAGAGCAGGCCCACAAGTAGGCCACCGGGTTTTGCCGGTACTCTTTGCCCTTGGGGGTACTGTTCCGGACCGTTTTCCAGTTAGCGGTCAGGAGACTGGGTCTATATCAACAATAGGTGGTATTTTGTCGGTCTTTTCGGGTCCTATGTTGCTAACAGTCCAACATTTCCGGAAATGCTCAGGAGTGAACGCGACCGCGGGGGAGACTGGAACGAAGGCTAAGTTTGAGGAAGAAGTCAAGGTGGTGAAAGCCCCCTGAAGACGACCGCATGGCGGCGATCGAAACCGGTCGGGGTTGCCATACCCACCTGCATGTTGAGCTGTTTGTTGTTGATCTGAATACATCGGTACTCGGCAACTTCATTGTTTGTTTTTGTATTGGATTGTGACGTGTATGGTTTTATCACTCGTCACTACTCTTCTTTTCATGCCTCTGACGGCGCATGTGAACCTGCTTGGATACGATTGTCCGAGCTTGAGTGAACATGTTTTACTCTTCTGACCACAAGTACTAGTTACGAGTTGAAGCAATCAAGTGCAGAATAGTTTGAAGATCAAACAAGCGAAAGGAGTTACTAAAGTGACGACCAAGTGAGTAACGGACGAGATGGCGTACCACGATTATGATCAGGAATGGAGGGATAGACACCATGGTGGAGGACGAGGAGACTGGAGGGATGGACAACGAGTTGAAGAACGCGACTACTACCAAGAGGAACGACATGACACACAACGGGAGCGAGGCGAATCTTCTGGAGAGTTCCGAAGACGTGCACCACCCACATGTTTCGAATGTGGGCAAGTCGGCCATTATCGCAACCAATGCTGAAAACTGTCGAGCGAAGGTGGTTCACGACCAGGAGAAGGTCGGGTAGGACAACAGGGAGGTTCGCGCGAAACCTCACCGGAACGCATAAAGCTGAAGAAACAGATTGAAGAGTTCGGGGCGCAACTAGCATCGATGCCTGGGCATATCAAGCAGGAGAAGCAGAAGAGGATCGAGAAGGAGAAGCGCAAGCAAGAGAAGCTCGAGAAACAACAGCGCGCCATCGCTGAACGAGAAGCACAAGAAAAGAAGCAGGCGCAAAAAAACGCGAAGATTAAGGAGACCAAAGAATTGAAGATGCAGATGCGGAAGGAGATGAGGATGGAAGCTGCACTTGTCGCGAGTGAACTGCGCGAGCAGATATCCGGAGGGTTTTGTGAACAACTGACGGATGAGATGCTCAAGGCACTCGCAACAACAACCATCGATCGAAAAGGGAAGAAGAAAGCAGCATCACCCCCATCACCAAGACCGTCATCTACAAGTGGCAATGAATCGAGTGATGCGGAGCCATTGAACAGGCGCACTCAGAAACTGACGACTAAGGAGAAGCGAAAGAGAAGTGCGAAAAAAACGGTGGGTAATAGCCCACCGATGTTGCAATCAGCAAAGAGAACGCCACGGTCGACTGGAGTGAAACCTATGCGTCTAGCAGCGAAGTTGCAATGCACGGCATAAAAGACGAAGACTCCGCCAAGATTTACACCATGTAGGGGCACTCCACGTACGAAGATCGCAGCCATGACGGGATCGACGGGAAGAGCACAGTTCATTTGTGAGAATATCCGCGCACTTGCGGATCTGGGAGCTAACGATCTCAAAGAGATCGATCGGAAGGAGGATGTAAATTATGAGAAGAAGACTATTGCTGCCATGAACATCGCAAAGAAGCAAGCAATAGTGGCATATGGAAGTGAAGAGGAGGAAGCCCGCAGTAGTGATAACGAGAAGGAAGCAATCGAACAGGGAAGTAACGAGGAACTGGGTGAGGAAGAGACTGTAGCATGAATTGTCGAGGTAATCGGATAATTGAATATCGTCGTGAAAGGACTTTCGAAGCACTGGTGGAGAAGATTTACCGATTGACAGTTATGTTGCTTACTCTGGCGGCTGAGATCAGATGGTTGATGAAATGCACCGACTCGTGGGTCCGAATGTATGCGGAAGTGGGCATCAACTTCATCGAGGGTGCGAACGTGGTGTATACGTTAATTTCGCCTCGTTGCAAGGCTCAGTACGTGGGGCAAACCAGCCGGCATGTTAACGTGTGATGGCGGGAACAGACGTCACGATGCGACCGTAGGAGTAAGGATACTCACCTTTACCGTTGGTGGCGGAACTTTGGATGGGAGTCATACGTATTATTACCATTGGCTAGCACCGAGCAAGTTTACATACACTTGTGGAATCCGTCGCTGAATACGAATGGAGTTCGTCGTCGGAGGAAGCGTCGCAACACGAAGCGAAAGGGGAAACGTGAGCGGGAAAGGGTACGGGAGGAGGATGATGTGACGCAGAAAGGTGGGTATGTCAAACCGGTGGGAATTATATATGAAGGTTTTACGGAGGAGAAGTTGGACATCGTCAATACACTCGCATAACTAGAGAAAAGGGGAGTGCGTAAGTTCAAATTGACATCCACCGGGGGCAACTGTTGGTTAGATGGATGGAAGAAGATTAGGAAGGCATTTGGAATGTCAGCCGTCACCAGTGACATTGGGACAACGACTTTGGCGAAATGCAAGCAGAGTTTGGAGAAGGGTGGATGCGTGATAGTAAGATATCTGCGACGATAGCATAGCCGGAGTAAGATCCACAAGCAAGATCTAATTAAAACACTGCGAGATCCAAGGCGGATTAGTGAGTTGAAGCACCGGAATACGGAGGAGTTGTTCCGCCTCGATCGAGCAGCTAAGGAGTTCCAGAATAAATCCACAAGATCGTACCTACGAAGAATAATCGGACGCGTGATTAAGGAAATTTCAGGTTGGATCATGGGCGCAAACATCAATGTCAAACTGAAGTTTGACGATCGAGTGAAGCTGGTGGAGGTTCAGAAGGTGGTCAATGACAAGATCGGGGAACAGGCGATACCATCATGCATGATAAAGAGAGCACGTAGCAAGGTGAGGATCGTTTGGACAAGCAATCAAACGGTCGCCGACTTGTTACACAATCAGCGGACGTTTACGCGTGCGGATGTCTGTACCTGCACTTGTGCAAGTTTACCCTATCCAAGGATAGGAGATCATGTGCGATTCAGACTGCGTGACATGGAGGGCGTACACCTGATGCTGTGCAATGCGAAAAACATACCACGGACATCACATCCGGATCGAGTTATGCTATTAAGACGCGAGATTGAAGAAGCTTTCAACAAGTGGCCGAATCGTGGTACGAAGGAGTGCTTGACGACCATAGATGACGTCAGCAAATGTTTGATTGGAACGACGGAGCAACCGGAGAAGTACCTGCGCATGGAAACAGTCAACGAGCTGAAGAGCAAACTGACTGGGTTGGTATGCACCCCACTGGACAGGAACCCGGGTGAGACCCTCGTGATCTGCCCAGCCCTGTACCACGAAGCGATGCTTACCACTTTTGTATGCAACAGCGGGTACAAGATCATGGAGACAAGCGATGAGACGATTGTCGAGAAGATGAGTAGGGATGCGACAGATGCTGGGCTGAAGAATTTTGTTAAAATCGACAAGAAGGGAACATTTGGTTGCGCTTACGTACAGCCGAAGCACAAGGATCTGGACAGATATCGACGGATCAGTCCATCCTATTGCGAGCCGACAGTCAAAACCTCGAGAGCGGCAGCTAAGGCGTTGAATCACCTACTCTATGCATTACCAACAAAGTGGCATTTTAACTTGAAGTCACTGACAGACCTAGTACCAAGAATCGAGAAGATTAACAAGCAGATCCAATGCTTTCCAAGGCGGGACTTGCAGATATCCACGATGTCTTACGACATCAAGGATATGTTCAGCAAGCTACCAAACAAGCACATCATGGAAGCTGTCGATTGGATAGTTGATCACTTTCAGAGGAGAGGGAAGAAGTCAGTACGAGTGAACACTCGAGGACACGGGAACTCCTTCGGACACACCACTAGAGCTGATCACTGGAGGAAGATCGAGCAGGAGGACCTGAGGCATTTTGTAAGATTTGATCTCCGACACACATACATCAAGGCTACTAGCGTGCTCTTGAGGCAGGTGGTCGGAATTCCCGTGGGAAAAAGTACCAGCCCGCCACTTGCGTGCATTATGTGTGCACACGCCGAGTTCAAGTTCCTTAGTGAACAAGGATGTCTGAGTTCAAAGATATTTGGTATCCGGCTGATTAACGACGTGAGTGTCGTAATGCTACTAAGAAGAGAGACAGGAGGATCAGTGAGCAGATTTGTGCAGACTTCGAGAAATGATACCTGAGGAACTTAACGTTGAAACGCACGGACGAAGGCAAAAAAATCTAGGATTTCCTCGGAGTTGAAATGCGGCAACAGGACGAAATGCCTTTCCTCTCCTGTGTACAGCTCTCGAAGAACGACAAGACTGTGTGGAGGGAAGAAAAATTGGACTTCAAAATTGGACAAGAATACTACTCATGGGGGAGTAAGCGCCAGAAAAGCGCAGTCATCGCAACTCGATTGCATAGAATCGAGAGGAATACGATCGTGCGCAGTGAGTTACCCGACAAGGTGCTGACGCTGTCCCGGGAACATAGGATGATGGATTTTCCTCATAAGTTTTTCCTTCGAGTTCTGAAGAGTTTTTTAAGAGGCAGAGATGCAATCTGGGGTTACATTGCTACATGGTTAGCTGCGTAACCAGCTTGAGTTTTTCTGTATGAGAAAGGGTGGGATGTACTGCGTTGATAAATTAATGCATTGTCCATGTGATGGTTTGTAGGACGGTAGGGTACATTGTAATATAGAGAAACGCGAATGTATGGATTCTTTGTAAGGCTATGAGAAGCGTGTGTTAAGAGGACGTATACGATATACTGACTTTGTTTTGATAAATGTTTTGTTGACTGTGGTCTCGCAATACGAATAAGTGTGGATTGGTGTGGTGTGCCAGAACATGTAAAACAGACTGAGTACATTTGACGAGTTTCTACCATAGGACATAGAGATAGGGTTTTTTGTGATATAGACTTTTTTGTGATATACATTTTGGACACGTGTGGAGTTTGGTGTGGGGTGGATTGTTGGCGTTCACCTGTAGTATACAGTAGGTCTTCAGACAACGCGTTTAGGCTAGGGTCCGGACTATGAACAGGAGAAGGCCCACAAGTAGGCCACCGGGTTTCGCCGGTACTCTTTGCCCTTGGGGGTACTGTTCCGGACCGTTTTCCAGTTGGTGGTAAGGAGACTGGGTCTATATCAACAATAGGTGGTATTTTGTCGGTCTTTCCGGGTCCTACGTTAATGACACTCCGACATTTCCGGAAATGCTCGGAAGTGAACGCGACCGCGGGGGAGAGTGGAACGAAGGCTAAGTTTGAGGGAGAAGTCGAGGTGGTGAAAGCCCCCTGAAGACAACCGCGTGGCGGCGGTCGAAACCGGTCGGGGTAGCCATACCCACCGGCATGCTGAGTTGTTTGTTGTTGATCGGAATACATCGGTACTTGGCAACTTCATTGTTTGTCTTTGTATTGGATTGTGACGTGTATGGTTTTATCACTCGTCACTACACTTATTTTCATACCTTTTAAATATTCACTTTATTTCGGAGCCTAAACAAATTTATTATTTTTTGAAAATTTTTTAATGATATTGATTATGTAAACTACATATTTGTTAATTTTCAGGGCATTTGTAAATGCCAAAAAATAATAAAAAATCGACAAAGATGGCGGTGTCGAAAAGGTGCTGGCACAGTCACTCATTTTAGTTCTCTTTCAATTTTTTCTTACTTTTATCATAGTGTTTATTTTCTGCATTTGATTTTTAATTCAAATTTGGTAAAGAATTTGGATGTACAGCCCAGGCAAATGTTGTGTAGTAGCTTGTTTTTCTCCATAACATATTTGTTTTTCTTATTTTTTTGAAAACTTTGTTTTTTTTTGTTTTTTTTTTGTCTGCGTTCGGCCCGAACGACCGAACGCCTTTCGAAGTGGTCCCGTACGTTCGGGCGTTCGGGTTCGGGCGTTCGGCCCGTCACGAATGTCGGTAACCCTGTATATATGTATATATATATTTTTAATATATGTTTATTATTTCTTTTGATAAAAAAGATTAATGAGTGATTTTTTATTTATTTATTTTTTTTTTACACATTTGTTTGTGTGTATGCGCACGTGTGTTTGTGCGTGTGTGTGTGTTTGTGCGCGCGTGTGTGTATGTGTGATGTGTGTGTGTATGTGTATGTGTGTGTGTGTGTGTGTGTGTGTGTGTGTGTGTGTGTGTGTGTGTGTGTGTGTGTGTGTGTGTGTGTGT